GCTCAGTCAGCAGCGGCTCAGTCAGTAGGGGCTCAGTCAGTAGGGATTCAGTCAGTCAGTAGGGGCTCAGTCAGTCAGTAGGGGCTCAGTCAGCAGGGGCTCAGTCAGTAGGGGCTCAGTCAGCAGGGGCTCAGTCAGTAGGGGCTCAGTCAGTCAGTAGGGGCTCAGTCAGTAGGGGCTCAGTCAGTCAGTAGGGGCTCAGTCAGTCAGTAGGGGCTCAGTCAGTAGGGGCTCAGTCAGCAGGGGCTCAGTCAGCAGTGGCTCAGTCAGTAGGGGCTCAGTCAGTAGGGATTCAGTCAGTCAGTAGGGGCTCAGTCAGTCAGTAGGGGCTCAGTCAGCAGGGGCTCAGTCAGTAGGGGCTCAGTCAGCAGGGGCTCAGTCAGTAGGGGCTCAGTCAGTCAGTAGGGGCTCAGTCAGTAGGGGCTCAGTCAGTCAGTAGGGGCTCAGTCAGCAGGGGCTCAGTCAGTCAGTAGGGGCTCAGTCAGTAGGGGCTCAGTCAGCAGGGGCTCAGTCAGCAGCGGCTCAGTCAGTAGGGGCTCAGTCAGCAGCGGCTCAGTCAGTAGGGGCTCAGTCAGTAGGGGCTCAGTCAGTAGGGGCTCAGTCAGCATGGGCTCAGTCAGCATGGGCTCAGTCAGTAGGGGCTCAGTCAGTAGGGGCTCAGTCAGTAGGGGCTCAGTCAGCAGCGGCTCAGTCAGTAGGGGCTCAGTCAGTAGGGGCTCAGTCAGTAGGGGCTCAGTCAGCAGCGGCTCAGTCAGTAGGGGCTCAGTCAGTAGGGATTCAGTCAGTCAGTAGGGGCTCAGTCAGTAGGGGCTCAGTCAGTCAGTAGGGGCTCAGTCAGCAGGGGCTCAGTCAGTAGGGGCTCAGTCAGCAGGGGCTCAGTCAGTAGGGGCTCAGTCAGTCAGTAGGGGCTCAGTCAGTAGGGGCTCAGTCAGTAGGGGCTCAGTCAGTCAGTAGGGGCTCAGTCAGCAGGGGCTCAGTCAGTCAGTAGGGGCTCAGTCAGTCAGTAGGGGCTCAGTCAGTCAGTAGGGGCTCAGTCAGTCAGTAGGGGCTCAGTCAGTCAGTAGGGGCTCAGTCAGTCAGTAGGGGCTCAGTCAGTCAGTAGGGGCTCAGTCAGTCAGTAGGGGCTCAGTCAGTCAGTAGGGGCTCAGTCAGCAGGGGCTCAGTCAGTAGGGGCTCAGTCAGCAGGGGCTCAGTCAGCATGGGCTCAGTCAGTAGGGGCTCAGTCAGTAGGGGCTCAGTCAGCAGGGGCTCAGTCAGTAGGGGCTCAGTTAGTAGGGGCTCAGTCAGCATGGGCTCAGTCAGCATGGGCTCAGTCAGTAGGGGCTCAGTCAGCAGGGGCTCAGTCAGTCAGTAGGGGCTCAGTCAGTAGGGGCTCAGTCAGCAGGGGCTCAGTCAGCAGCGGCTCAGTCAGTAGGGGCTCAGTCAGTAGGGATTCAGTCAGTCAGTAGGGGCTCAGTCAGTCAGTAGGGGCTCAGTCAGCAGGGGCTCAGTCAGCATGGGCTCAGTCAGTAGCGGCTCAGTCAGTAGGGCTCAGTCAGTAGGGGCTCAGTCAGTAGGGGCTCAGTCAGCAGGGGCTCCGTCAGCATGGGCTTAGTCAGCAGGGGCTCAGTCAGTAGGAGCTCAGTCAGCATGGGCTCAGTCAGTAGGGGCTCAGTCAGTAGGGGCTCAGTCAGCATGGGCTCAGTCAGTAGGGGCTCAGTCAGTAGGGGCTCAGTCAGCAGGGGCTCAGTCAGTAGGGGCTCAGTTAGTAGGGGCTCAGTCAGCATGGGCTCAGTCAGCATGGGCTCAGTCAGTAGGGGCTCAGTCAGTAGGGGCTCAGTCAGTAGGGGCTCAGTCAGCAGGGGCTCAGTCAGCAGCGGCTCAGTCAGTAGGGGCTCAGTCAGTAGGGGCTCAGTCAGTAGGGGCTCAGTCAGTAGGGATTCAGTCAGCAGGGGCTCAGTCAGTAGGGGCTCAGTCAGTCAGTAGGGGCTCAGTCAGTAGGGGCTCAGTCAGTAGGGGCTCAGTCAGTCAGTAGGGGCTCAGTCAGCAGGGGCTCAGTCAGTCAGTAGGGGCTCAGTCAGTCAGTAGGGGCTCAGTCAGCAGGGGCTCAGTCAGTAGGGGCTCAGTCAGCAGGGGCTCAGTCAGCAGGGGCTCAGTCAGTAGGGGCTCAGTCAGCAGGGGCTCAGTCAGCAGGGGCTCCGTCAGCAGGGGCTCAGTCAGTAGGGGCTCAGTCAGCAGGGGCTCAGTCAGCAGGGGCTCAGTCAGCAGGGGCTCAGTCAGCAGGGGCTCAGTCAGTAGGGGCTCAGTCAGTAGGGGCTCAGTCAGCAGGGGCTCAGTCAGCAGGGGCTCCGTCAGCATGGGCTCAGTCAGCAGGGGCTCAGTCAGTAGGGGCTCAGTCAGCATGGGCTCAGTCAGTAGGGGCTCAGTCAGTAGGGGCTCAGTCAGCATGGGCTCAGTCAGCATGGGCTCAGTCAGTAGGGGCTCAGTCAGTAGGGGCTCAGTCAGCAGGGGCTCAGTCAGTAGGGGCTCAGTTAGTAGGGGCTCAATCAGCATGGGCTCAGTCAGCATGGGCTCAGTCAGTAGGGGCTCAGTCAGTAGGGGCTCAGTCAGTAGGGGCTCAGTCAGCATGGGCTCAGTCAGCATGGGCTCAGTCAGTAGGGGCTCAGTCAGTAGGGGCTCAGTCAGCAGCGGCTCAGTCAGTAGGGGCTCAGTCAGTAGGGGCTCAGTCAGTAGGGGCTCAGTCAGTAGGGGCTCAGTCAGCAGCGGCTCAGTCAGTAGGGGCTCAGTCAGTAGGGATTCAGTCAGTCAGTAGGGGCTCAGTCAGTAGGGGCTCAGTCAGTCAGTAGGGGCTCAGTCAGCAGGGGCTCAGTCAGTAGGGGCTCAGTCAGCAGGGGCTCAGTCAGTAGGGGCTCAGTCAGTCAGTAGGGGCTCAGTCAGTAGGGGCTCAGTCAGTAGGGGCTCAGTCAGTCAGTAGGGGCTCAGTCAGCAGGGGCTCAGTCAGCAGGGGCTCAGTCAGTCAGTAGGGGCTCAGTCAGCAGGGGCTCAGTCAGTCAGTAGGGGCTCAGTCAGTCAGTAGGGGCTCAGTCAGTCAGTAGGGGCTCAGTCAGCAGGGGCTCAGTCAGTAGGGGCTCAGTCAGCAGGGGCTCAGTCAGCAGGGGCTCAGTCAGTAGGGGCTCAGTCAGTCAGTAGGGGCTCAGTCAGTCAGTAGGGGCTCAGTCAGTCAGTAGGGGCTCAGTCAGCAGGGGCTCAGTCAGCAGGGGCTCAGTCAGTCAGTAGGGGCTCAGTCAGTAGGGGCTCAGTCAGCAGGGGCTCAGTCAGCAGGGGCTCAGTCAGCAGGGGCTCAGTCAGCAGCGGCTCAGTCAGTAGGGGCTCAGTCAGTAGGGATTCAGTCAGTCAGTAGGGGCTCAGTCAGTAGGGGCTCAGTCAGTCAGCATGGGCTCAGTCAGTAGCGGCTCAGTCAGTAGGGCTCAGTCAGTAGGGGCTCAGTCAGTAGGGGCTCAGTCAGCAGGGGCTCCGTCAGCATGGGCTTAGTCAGCAGGGGCTCAGTCAGTAGGAGCTCAGTCAGCATGGGCTCAGTCAGTAGGGGCTCAGTCAGTAGGGGCTCAGTCAGCATGGGCTCAGTCAGTAGGGGCTCAGTCAGCAGGGGCTCAGTCAGTAGGGGCTCAGTTAGTAGGGGCTCAGTCAGCATGGGCTCAGTCAGCATGGGCTCAGTCAGTAGGGGCTCAGTCAGTAGGGGCTCAGTCAGCAGGGGCTCAGTCAGCAGCGGCTCAGTCAGTAGGGGCTCAGTCAGTAGGGGCTCAGTCAGTAGGGGCTCAGTCAGTAGGGGCTCAGTCAGTAGGGATTCAGTCAGTCAGTAGGGGCTCAGTCAGTAGGGGCTCAGTCAGTCAGTAGGGGCTCAGTCAGCAGGGGCTCAGTCAGTAGGGGCTCAGTCAGCAGGGGCTCAGTCAGTAGGGGCTCAGTCAGTCAGTAGGGGCTCAGTCAGTAGGGGCTCAGTCAGTAGGGGCTCAGTCAGTCAGTAGGGGCTCAGTCAGCAGGGGCTCAGTCAGCAGGGGCTCAGTCAGTCAGTAGGGGCTCAGTCAGTCAGTAGGGGCTCAGTCAGCAGGGGCTCAGTCAGTAGGGGCTCAGTCAGCAGGGGCTCAGTCAGCAGGGGCTCAGTCAGCAGGGGCTCAGTCAGTAGGGGCTCAGTCAGTAGGGGCTCAGTCAGCAGGGGCTCCGTCAGCAGGGGCTCAGTCAGTAGGGGCTCAGTCAGCAGGGGCTCAGTCAGCAGGGGCTCAGTCAGCAGGGGCTCAGTCAGCAGGGGCTCAGTCAGCAGGGGCTCAGTCAGTAGGGGCTCAGTCAGTAGGGGCTCAGTCAGCAGGGGCTCAGTCAGCAGGGGGCTCAGTCAGCAGGGGCTCACTCAGCAGGGGCTCAGTCAGTAGGGGCTCAGTCAGCAGGGGCTCAGTCAGTAGGGGCTCAGTCAGTAGGGGCTCAGTCAGCAGGGGCTCCGTCAGCAGGGGCTCAGTCAGTAGGGGCTCAGTCAGCAGGGGCTCAGTCAGTAGGGGCTTGGACTGGGAACTGTAGGGTCGCCGGTTCAAGTCTCCGACCACACCTAAATATGGAGTGTGGACTGCTACTTGGAGAGGTCCTAGTTCACCTCCTGCCCTGCCGTGGTGCCCTTGAGCAAGGCACCGTACACCCCCTTCCCCCCTCACTCCCATTGCTCCCCGGGCGCTGTACAATAGCTGCCCACTGCTCCTAGTGCTAGACTCCTGGTTCTAGCATGGGTTAAAAGCAGAGAACACATTTCACTGTGTGCTGTGAGACCATTAAGACCAATTATATTCTATTTATATCAGAATTCCCACTTTATATCAGAACTAAAGACATGTCAGTGAGCGCTGGGACTCATGCATCTCTCTGTTAATAAGATCTCTGTGTAGAAACACTAACGTGATGTCACTTCCTGTGTGTGGCTGCACTTTACGAGGTTTAGTGTGCATACGTGTTTACTGTGGGAATCGAACCAGTGTCTCTGTGTGCAGGGCTCCATTCCCCCCGTCCTCCTCAGCTCCATGACCACAGAGGGCGTCTGCGAGAGGGTGCACCTGATCGAGGGCATCGACCAAAGCATGATGGGAAACTACAGCGCCACCATCAGGAAGGTGTGTGTATGTGTGTGTGACTAACGTGTGTGTGTGTGTGATACTAATGTATGTGTGTGTGACACTAACGTATGTGTGTTTCCAGGCAAACGTGAACGGCCGTGTGCTGACGCAGTGTAACATCGACGAGCTGAAGAAGGAGATGAATATGAATTTCGGAGACTGGCAGCTGTTCCGAGCCTCGGTGAGGAAAAACTGTTCCCATAAAATCTGATTCTACGGGACTAAACACACATTCCAGAGGTCACCTTATGTTCCAGATGGGAATTAATGAGTCAATATCTTCAATATTCATTGGATCATTCAATTCTTACACAATTCTGAGAAAACAATTATATTTTTTTACCACTTGTTATCCGAATTCCCACTTAAATCTCAAAATGCTCACCTAATCTCAGAATTCCCACCTAATCTCAGAATTCCCATACTAGTATCATAATTCCCAGTTAAATAAAAAAACTCCCACATAAATATCGGAATTCCCACTTAAATAAAAAAATGACCAAATTCCCACTTAAATCTCAGAATTCTCACCTAATCTCAGAATTCCCAATCTTGTCTCAGAATTCCCAGCTAAATCTCAAAATTCTCACTGAAATCTCGAAATTCCCACTTAAATCTCAGAATTCCCATATTAGTATCAGAATTCCATTTAAATAATAAAAATCCCAAATTCCCACTTAACCTGTTAAGCCCCAATCCTGTTTTTCAGGTCTCAGGCTCAAAAATGACATTCCCAGAACAAATGACCATATCTTCTAAAAGGGATAAATTAATCATCTTTGTTCTCAAAGTAATGATAAACCTGTGAGTTGGATGTAGAAGAGTCAGAATCAATATAGATGTTTTTTATTTTAAAGTAAATTCAGATTGAACATAGTAAAAAACTGTAAATTATAGTGTCGGTCCAAAAAACAAAAACATTACTTATCGTGAAAACCACCCTTGGATGATGGGAAGGTAGACTAAAAGCTTTAGGAATTCAAAGTACAACATATAATAAGTACTCTGTATCAAGGTTGATGCAAAACAAGAGACATTTTACCTTTTTAGAGAGGTTTAGAAAAACCCACTTCTGGGGTCATTTCGGTAGATTTTCCATATCTCTGGCCCCCCTTGTTCGATTTTGATGATTGACGTCTCGTTTTAACCGTTAGAGCCGATGGAATCGAGGGGAAGTTCCTACAATCCATCTAAATATAACCCATTGGTGAATGAGCGATGCATAGCCAGAATACCCCAGAACAGGAAGCTGTGATACACTCTGGTGGCTATCATTAGCAGCTAATATGAAATCTCCGTTTTTGAGATAAAAATTGAATGATGGATTATAATCATTATTTCAAAGTGACAGACACATTGGATTAACCTATGGATTAACCTTCAGCAGCGTTTCTATCGTTTTAATGCCATTGAACACGACTTTTGATCAGAATTACACCTAAGGTGAGAATATCTACTGTGTTTGCTCCGTAAAGGTACGTGTTGTGATGTCTGTGTTTGCTTCCCCTGACGCGAGTTCTGATCGCTCAGTGATGATACTAATACCTATATAATCTGTGGAATATCTTGTATGTGCAGTTACGATAAGTAATAAGGGTATTTCTACCTTGAGTTCTGTGCTAACACTTCTTGTTAGACTTGTGTTTTGTTTCGGTAAAAATGGTTTGTATTGTCAGTTAGCTGAGTTTCTTCCCGTTAATCGGTTATGACACATTAATAGGTTGTTAAATGTTAAGAGGCCCTGAGACACAGTTTTGTGAAGAAAAAAAACCGCAGGACCCGGGTTTAACAGGTTAAATCTCGGAATTCCCACCTTCATCTCAGAATTCCCACTTAAACCTCAGAATTCCAACGTTTTTCTCAGAATTCCAGTCGTGTTTCTGCCTGTTTTCTGTTTTTCTCAGTTCTGGTGAGATCTCAGAACGAATGTTCCGATGTGATTTTCCTGCCTGATGTTCAGACGCTCCCTTTGTGCTGCAGGTGCTGGAGATGCGCTCCATGGAGAACCAGCTGCTGCAGGAGGAAGCTGCCAGTGAGCAAGGCAGCACTCAGGCTCCGCCCCCAGATGCCTCCATCTTCAGCTTCAACCTCAGCTTCGAGGATCTGAGCAGCGACGAGCCTCCGAGGGCCGGAAACACACCGTGGACGGTATGAGAGCTATTACTAACTACTGTTATTATCCAACCAGAGGACATCTATCATATACTGTACTCTTATTGTCCAATCAGAGGACATCTATCATATACTGCACTCTTATTGTCCAATCAGAGGACATCTATCATATACTGTACTCTTATTGTCCAATCAGAGGACATCTATCATATACTGCACTCTTATTGTCCAATCAGAGGACATCTTATGTGGTGTTTAACTCTTCTTTTATATCTGAGGCCTAATATAGGTGACCTTTAACTCCTCCTCTCCTCCTCCTCTCCTCCTCCTCCTCTCCTCTCCCCCTCTCCCCCTCCTCCTCCTCTCCTCCAGGCGGCGCTCCGTACAGCCAGCCTCACCTCTCTGAACTCTCAGGAGTCTTCCTCTCTGGACGTGTCCCGCCTGACGGATCGTCAGCAGGACGAGTACCGCTCCGCCTATGAGGAGTACGTGTCTCAGATGGCCCAGACGGAGCTGAGCGGCGCGGAGCGTCCCGTGCAGCCGCAGCCGGTTCAATTCCTGTCCTCCTCCGAGAGCAGGGAGGATACAGAGGGACGCAGAGCCACGTTCGGGAAGAGGACCGGAGCCGGAAAACACACGACAACAACCACCGATAATAACAACCCAGACCTGGACCCCATCAGGGAGGAAGACGAGAAGAACAGCGAACACACAGCGGGGGCGAGGGGGCGGAGCTACAAGAAGATCGAAGAAGACGAGGAGTTGAAGAAGATCACGGCGATGAAGGGGAAGGACTTCCTGTCCGACGCCACGCTGGACAAAAAGGATTCGTCTGATTCTGGCGTCCGCTCCAACGAGAGCTCGCCCAATCACTCGCTGCAGGACGAGGAGGCGGAGCTAGAGGAAGACAGGAAGCGCGGTGGCGTTCCCGGTGTCCTGGGCGGCGTTCCCGGCGTTCTTCAAGACGTCCGGATGTCCATCTGCTCTGAGGACTGCAGCCTGATGGCCTCCAGCCCCGAGGACAGCTGGTCCTTCAACCTGAACTCCGTCTCGCTCAACAACAACTCCAACTCTAGGCCCCGCCCCCTCACCACCACTGATCCCGCCCCCCCCTCCTCCTCCACTGACGTCATCCTCTCCCCAAGCTCCGCCCCCCGCCCCGCTCCCACCAATGAGAACGTGCGGGTGGTTCACCTGCGGCGGGGGCTGAGGCCCGGCGACCCCCCCGAGGTCTGCAGCGTGTCGTCGGACACTGTGACCTTCGGAGACGAGAGAGAGAGCATCCTGTGATGTCATCCAGCCTCTCAGCCAATCAGGAGCCTCCGGGGGATAAAAGTCAGCCAATCAGGAGCCTCCGGGGGGGACAAGTCAGCCAATCAGGAGCCTCCGGGGGGGACAAGTCAGCCAATGAGGGACATTAAGAAATAAATTAGAGATTAAAGACAAACATTAGGAGAAGAAAAGTTAGAAGAAATCTGAAAAACACAAATTGGGTTTTGTTCAAATCTATAAAGTTAAACAATAAAACTAGAAACGTTTAGGAGGTCAATGATTCTCTTTAAAGATTAAAGTCCTGAACTTTAAATAACCAAATAATGCAAAAAATATTTAAGAGACAGAACATTTTAAATATTCAGAAAATATTTTGATCAAAATCACAAAATATACAGAATAAAAGTAAAATCTTCAGGATTAAAAACATTCATGAACTCAAAAGAACTCAAAGGAAATGAAAAGAAGATAATTGATTTAAAAATAGAACATTTTATTAAAAGAGAATGATGGAAATATTCTCTGAGATTAAAGTTGTGATGTTTTTCAGAATAAAGCTCTGATAATAAATCAGTAAATTATCCTTTGAGCTTCTGATGAAGAGTTTTAATATTTAAAGTAAACAGAATTCAGCGTAAAATGTAAGAAATGTAAGAAGAAAACGTAATGTAAGAACTTGTCGTGGTTCCTGAATGTCGATGTTTAATCTCTTAAAAAACAAACTAAAGTAAATCTAAAAACGTTTGTCGTTTTTTAAATCTGTGAAAAAAATAACTGTTATTACATTTTCTTCATATGTTTAAAACTGAAAATAATATTTATTGAAATTAGAAAAAAAATAAAAAATATTCCCAGGTAACATATTCATGAGACATTCCCACTCGTGTCTCAGAATTCCCATTTAAATCTCAGAATTCCCACTTTAATCTCAGAATTCCCACCTTAATCTCAGAATTCCCACTTAAATCTCATAATTCCCATTTAAATCTCAGAATACCCACCTTAATCTCAGAATTCCCACTTTAATCTCAGAATTCCTATTTAAATCTCAGAATTCCCATTTAAATCTCAGAATTCCCACTTTAATCTCAGAATTCCTATTTAAATCTCAGAATTCCCACTTAAATATCAGAATTCCCACTTAAATCTCAGAATTCCCACCTTAATCTCAGAATTCCCACTTAAATCTCATAATTCCCATTTAAATCTCAGAATACCCACCTTAATCTCAGAATTCCCACTTTAATCTCAGAATTCCTATTTAAATCTCAGAATTCCCACTTTAATCTCAGAATTCCCACCTTAATCTCAGAATTCCCACTTAAATCTCATAATTCCCATTTAAATCTCAGAATACCCACCTTAATCTCAGAATTCCCACTTTAATCTCAGAATTCCTATTTAAATCTCAGAATTCCCACTTAAATCTCAGAATTTCCACTTTAATCTCAGAATTCCCACCTTAATCTCAGAATTCCCACCTTAATCTCAAAATTCCCACCTTAATCTTAGAATTCCCATTTAAATCTCAGAATTTCCACTTTAATCTCAGAATTCCCACCTTAATCTCAGAATTCCCACCTTAATCTTAGAATTCCCATTTAAATCTCAGAATTTCCACTTTAATCTCAGAATTCCCACCTTAATCTCAGAATTCCCACTTTAATATTAGAATTCCCACTTAAATCTCAGAATTTCCATTTTAATCTCAGAATTCCCACCTTAATCTCAGAATTCCCACTTTAATCTCAGAATTCCCACTTAAATCTCAGAATTCCCACCTTAATCTCAGAATTTCTAGTGTTTAGTGTTAAGTGTTAAGTGGTTAGGGTTTAGTGGTTAGTGTTTAGGCTTTAGTGGTTAGTGTTTAGGCTTTAGTGGTTAGTGTTTAGGCTTTAGTGTTTAAGTGTCGTGTTTTAATCGGGGAGCTTTTATTCTGAAATTTGACTTAAATCCTCGTTAAAAGTAAAAAGTCGACTGAAACTCAGAAGACCTCTTTATTGAAATTACATCAAACATTTAATTGAAGTTTTAAGGAAATTGAGAGAAAACATTACATTATAGAGGAGATGTTTCCAAAGTGCTGAACATCAACAAACAAACGTAGAGGGGAGGAATTTCAGAATAAAGCGTCTGATGAAAGTGAAACAACGTGAAGAAACAGAAACGATGAGTTAAACTGCATGCTCTGATGTTTATCCTGAAATAAAATAATTACATCTGGACGTTTCTCTGACTCTTTATTATTTAAATATGATTTAAAGGTTTTACTGAAGAACTGGCACCTTTCATAGCACCAAGGACACCTAGCAGGACCCAAGGACACCTAACAGGAACCAAGGACACCTAGCAGGACCCAAGGACACCTAACAGGACCCAAGGACACCTAACAGGACCCAAGGACACCTAGCAGGACCCAAGGACACCTAACAGGACCCAAGGACACCTAACAGGACCCAAGGATACCTAACAGGACCCAAGGACACCTAACAGGAACCAAGGACACCTAGCAGGACCCAAGGACACCTAGCAGGACCCAAGGACACCTAACAGGACCCAAGGACACCTAGCAGGACCCAGGACACCTAACAGGACCCAGGACACCTAACAGGACCCAAGGACACCTAACAGGACCCAAGGACACCTAGCAGGACCCAGGACACTTAACAGGACCCAAGGACACCTAGCAGGACCCAGGACACCTAACAGGACCCAGGACACCTAACAGGACCCAAGGACACTTAGCAGGACCCAGGACACCTAACAGGACCCAGGACACTTAACAGGACCCAGGACACCTAACAGGACCCAAGGACACCTAACAGGACCCAAGGACACCTAGCAGGACCCAGGACACCTAACAGGACCCAGGACACTTAACAGGACCCAGGACACCTAACAGGACCCAAGGACACCTAACAGGACCCAAGGACACCTAGCAGGACCCAGGACACCTAACAGGACCCAGGACACCTAACAGGACCCAGGACATCTAACAGGACCCAAGGACACCTAGCAGGACCCAGGACACCTAACAGGACCCAGGACACTTAACAGGACCCAGGACACCTAACAGGACCCAAGGACACCTAACAGGACCCAAGGACACCTAGCAGGACCCAGGACACCTAACAGGACCCAGGACACCTAGCAGGACCCAGGACACCTAACAGGACCCAACGACACCTAACAGGACCCAAGGACCCTAACAGGACCCAAGGACACCTAACAGGACCCAGGACACCTAACAGGACCCAAGGACACCTAACAGGACCCAGGACACCTAACAGGACCCGACGACACCTAACAGGACCCAGGACACCTAACAGGACCCGAGGACACCTAACAGGACCCAGGACACCTTACAGGTCCCAGGACACCTAACAGGACCCAGGACACCTAACAGGACCCAAGGACACCTAGCAGGACCCAGGACACCTAACAGGACCCAGGACACCTAGCAGGACCCAGGACACCTAACAGGACCCAACGACACCTAACAGGACCCAAGGACCCTAACAGGACCCAAGGACACCTAACAGGACCCAGGACACCTAACAGGACCCAAGGACACCTAACAGGACCCAGGACACCTAACAGGACCCGAGGACACCTAACAGGACCCAGGACACCTAACAGGACCCGAGGACACCTAACAGGACCCGAGGACACCTAACAGGACCCAGGACACCTAACAGGACCCGAGGACACCTAACAGGACCCAGGACACCTAACAGGGCCCAAGGACACCTTACAGCAGGGGTTCCCAGAGTGGGGGTCGCGAGATGATTACAAAATAAGAATAGAACGTTTAAAATTATAATTTTTTTAATAAAAAAAAAATATATATTATTAATAATAACGTGTGCAGTTTAACAGCTGTTAGAAATTAAAATCAATGTTTTTAATGGCATAAAGTACCTTAAACATACCGTCAGTTTAAATGCTGTTTTATACTGAAAACCCAGAAGTTCTTGTGCACAACCAGTTGTTAAGCTTTTATTCTGAAAATCCTTCATCTCCGGTTAGCATTTAGCATGTGGCTAATATACCATTTACTAGAGGTGAATTTAGTAGTGATATGACACGGATAGGAGTGTTGCACACCAAAACCTACTGATTTCAACACTACAACTATGGACGGTGAGATATTATTATTGTTGAATATTAAATGAAGGTACAGTTTATTTGAATACGTTATTGTTTACAGATGTGGGTAGCATGTGACAACTTCCGGAACGACCGGACACCAAACTGCCGTGAAGTATTTCCTGTATTTTTTGGAGTATTGATTACAGCGTTTAGAATGTGTTAAATGAAAAGTCATGACAGAGTTAAGGAGGAGAAAAGGCGTGTTTAGATATATATTGAATGTACAATGTCTGTATCCTCTGATATGCGTAACAACGGACATTAAATAAGTGGAGGGCCGGCCCCCAGCAGCGCCAACCGGCTCTCAGGGAGGAGCCAGCAGAGGAGGTATAACAGCTGGAGAGGTGGAGCTCGCTCTTCCCTTCGCTCACGAGAGCCAGAACACAGCTGTTTTTCTGACTGAACCATCATCTGCGTGTAACATTACCGCGCTTTTTATTAATTAAAGTATACATTTGAACCTTCTCAGAGACTCAATTAGTCTCCTTTTAAAGCTTCTCTCCTGGACGCGAGAATAACGAGCACAGTTATCACAGCCTAATAATCAGTGGCGTTTTTATATGTACAAAAGCGGTGGGGCTCAAAAAACGTAATGTCTATATATAAGCTTCTGCAGTGAGGTTCATGGCTGCTGAGGCACTGACTCTTCAGGTTTACAAATATTATATTTTGACCTAAATCAAAATATAATATTATTTTCAAAAGCCTCTTTAGTCTGATGCTTCGATTAATTGTAAACAGACAGTTCAACAGAAGGATACCCAAAAAATGTAATTGTATCATTTAAATATTGAATTGTTCTCTCTTAGTAAGATCCCATCTTCAATCAAATGGTGGTCTTACCTTGACTTGAAGATGAAGTCCATTGGCCTATCCCTCTGGACAAAAATCTTACTTTTTTGTAAAAGTCCTCCTTATGTTCTTGTAGTTTCAAAAGTCTATCATAAATCAAAAAGTATAAAAGTAGGGTAGACATGTGGATATTATCCGGCTGAACAAAACGTGCATTTATCTAACAGGTTTGTTTCCCACAGACCTTATTTGGAGCTATTTTCTAAAATCCTATGGAGAAATATCATTGCTTTTTTGTCGAGGGAAGCCATGCGCAGCTTACTTCCTGGTTCTAGGACGCCTCACTGCAGCTCTCTCTCCTCCTCTTCACACACCACACTTTTCGCGGCACACATACTTACAGCCAATCAGCTCTGAATGATGTGAGATGACGTATGGTGGGGATGGCAGCTCTATGCCCCTATGGTCATTATTTTTTTGCCACACACATTAAATAGGACAATACTCTGAGCATGCGCAGTGTAGTTTTTACAGTCACCGTTCACTTAGACAGTGAGAGGGAGGGGCAGGATCGGGTTTTGTCCCACATGGCTCTAAACAGCTCAACAGGCACACACTGTAGACACTAAGTAGAAGAACACAGACTAAAACAGCAATGAGACGAATCAGATGATTAAACATGATCTTAAAATATATTGTATATATTTTTTTTAATAATCATTATTTGTAATACTTCCTGCTGACACTAGGTGGGGCTGTGCCGCTAATGACCAGTCGCCACTGTGTGTTACACAGGTGAGCCTTCAACATAAAAGCCCACTCACACAGGAGTTTTATATCTTGGAGGGTTTGAGAGGAAGGTGTCGTAGAGGTTTGGGTCAAAGCATCCGCTAGATGTTCTTTAAATGGAGGAGTGGTCCCGTGTGTTGACCTGGGGACGGTGCAGTAATGATATATGTATATGACGTCTCCCTGTTCCTGAAAGTTTCACGAACAAAGATTCTCTCTTTGTCCTGATCCATGGGAGAGCAGATAAACAAGACTCCTGTCCCTTTAAGAGACGTGCCGTCCAATGGGAGAGCAGATAAACACGCCGTCCAATGGGAGAGCAGATAAACACACCATCCAATGGGAGAGCAGATAAACACACCGTCCAATGGGAGAGCAGATAAACACGCCGTCCAATGGGAGAGCAGATAAACACGCCGTCCAATGGGAGAGCAGATAAACACGCCGTCCAATGGGAGAGCAGATAAACACACCATCCAATGGGAGAGCAGATAAACACACCGTCCAATGGGAGAGCAGATAAACACGCCGTCCAATGGGAGAGCAGATAAACACGCCGTCCAATGGGAGAGCAGATAAACACGCCGTCCAATGGGAGAGCAGATAAACCGACTCAGGTCCAGCTGATTTATTAAATACAGAAAAACGTTTTTATTTATTTCTCTTTTATATTGCACAGAAATAATGAGCAGAAACAAAAATGTGCCGTTAATATAAAAAAATAAGCGGGATCCAGTTCTCCCCCTAACTCACTAACTATCTTACAAACATTTACATCTGACCCCCCACACAAATAACAACAACAACATTCAGGGGGGGGGGACGTCTGGATCCCTTCCACTGTACAAAAATACTTCATTTAATAAAAATAGACGAGGTATGTTCGGTTTCACAGATCTGGGTGTGTGAGTGTGTGTGTCTAAGTGTGTGTGTGTGTGTGTGTGTGTGTGTCTAAGTGTGTGTCTAAGTGTGTGTGTGTGTGTGTGTCCAAGTGTGTGTGTGTGTGTCCAAGTGTGTGTGTGTGTGTCCAAGTGTGTGTGTGTGTCCAAGTGTGTGTGTGTGTCCAAGTGTGTGTGTGTGTCCAAGTGTGTGTGTGTGTGTCCAAGTGTGTGTGTGTGTGTGTGTGTGTCTAAGTGTGTGTGTGTGTGTCCAAGTGTGTGTGTGTCTATGTGTGTGTGTGTCCAAGTGTGTGTGTGTCTAAGTGTGTGTGTGTGTCTAAGTGTGTGTGTGTGTGTGTCTAAGTGTGTGTGTGTCTAAGTGTGTGTGTGTGTCTAAGTGTGTGTGTGTGTGTGTGTGTGTGTGTCTAAGTGTGTGTGTGTGTGTCTAGTGTGTGTGTGTGTGTGTCCAAGTGTGTGTGTGTGTCTATGTGTGTGTGTGTCCAAGTGTGTGTGTGTGTGTGTGTCTAAGTGTGTGTGTGTCTAAGTGTGTGTGTGTCTAAGTGTGTGTGTGTCTAAGTGTGTGTGTGTCTAAGTGTGTGTGTGTCTAAGTGTGTGTGTGTCTAAGTGTGTGTGTGTGTGTGTCCAAGTGTGTGTGTGTATGTCTAAGTGTGTGTGTGTCTAAGTGTGTGTGTGTCTAAGTGTGTGTGTGTCTAAGTGTGTGTGTGTGTGTATGTCTAAGTGTGTGTGTGTGTCTAAGTGTGTGTGTCTAAGTGTGTGTGTGTCTAAGTGTGTGTGTGTGTGTCAGTAGGAGAACACCAGGTCGGGGAAGTAGCTGATGAGTTCGGGGTCGCAGTAGTCCGGGAAGTCGAAGTGAGAGCCGAGGCTGCCCTCAGAGTCCTGGTCCGGATCCACCAGAGAGAGACTGAGGGTCCCGACGGGGGGCGATCCTCCCGACGGTGGCCACGGATCAGAGGAGGAGGAGGCGTGGAGGTCGTCCAGGTTCCTGCAAACACACAACACGGTCAGAACGTCCTCCAACATGAGAGCAGCATGATATCAAAGGTATCTCAACTGTAGCTGTGAACATGACAGGATGTGTGATGACCTAGAAGAGCATCAGGACTGTTTGAGGCAGATGATAGCTATGTGATTAACATGATGATTCAGCCTCTATAGAGAGAGACATCAAGCATGCTCATTTCTGACGTGGAGCTAATCTGAAGTAAACATTGAATACTGCTTTCTACTCCTCCATCTTGTGACTGTGTAACTCCCTCTCTTGGATATCAGCATGTGAAGGACACTGTTCAGGAACTAGTCTCTGTATGTGATGACTCCTTCCCTTCTGGATCACAGACACATGGATCCTGAGATGAAGCTCAAGCCGGGGACCAGGGAGAGTTAACATTTAAGTATTCAGAAAAGTCAGAATTTAGAAATGTTTGAGAAAAAGTATTGCGCAAGAAGTCTATAAACATGTATATTCAGATGCTGCTCTTGTACCGATCAGGTTCCTGCAAACAGACTCAGGGTCAGATTTATTTCAATAGTTATCACCGCAATAAACTCTATTTCATTGAGTCTTAAGGTCTCCTATCACGCTAAAGACACCCTTTGATGTCTCCTCTACATCGCCACGTGTCCCCGGTGTGTGTCCCCCCCGGTGTGTGTGTGTCCGGTGTGTCCCCCCCCGGTGTGTGTGTCCCCCCGGTGTGTGTGCATCCCCGGTGTGTGTGCATCCCCAGTGTGTCCCCCCCCGGTGTGTGTGTCCCCCCGGTGTGTGTGCATCCCCGGTGTGTGTGTCCCCCCGGTGTGTGTGTCCCCGGTGTGTGTGTCCCCGGTGTGTGTGCATCCCCGGTGTGTGTGCATCCCCGGTGTGTGTGTCCCCCCGGTGTGTGTGCATCCCCGGTGTGTGTGCATCCCCGTGTGTGTGTGTCCCCGGTGTGTGTGTCCCCGGTGTGTGTGCATCCCCGGTGTGTGTGTCCCCCCGGTGTGTGTGCATCCCCGGTGTGTGTGCATCCCCGGTGTGTGTGCATCCCCGGTGTGTGTGTCCCCGGTGTGTGTGCATCCCCGGTGTGTGTGTGTCCCCGGTGTGTGTGTGTCCCCGGTGTGTGTGTGTCCCCGGTGTGTGTGTCCCCGGTGTGTGTGTCCCCGGTGTGTGTGTGTCCCCGGTGTGTGTGTGTCCCCGGTGTGTGTGTGTCCCCGGTGTGTGTGTCCCGGTGGTGTGTGTCCCCGGTGTGTGTGTCCCCGGTGTGTGTGTCCCCGGTGTGTGTGTCCCCGGTGTGTGTGTCCGGTGTGTGTGTGTGTCCCGTGTGTGTGTCCCCGGTGTGTGTCCCGTGTGTGTGTCCCCGGTGTGTGTGTCCCGGTGTGTGTGTCCCCGGTGTGTGTGTCCCCGGTGTGTGTGTCCCCGGTGTGTGTGTCCCCGGTGTGTGTGTCCCCGGTGTGTGTGTCCCCGGTGTGTGTGTCCCCGGTGTGTGTGTCCCCGGTGTGTCCGGAGACTCACAGAGTGATGTCTTCTAGGGCTGCACGATATTGAAAAAAACTGACATTGCGGTTTTTTGTTCCCCTGCGATATATACTGCGTTTTTTTTAACCTGTTAAGCCCCAAAGTCCCGGCGGGTACTTTACTTTTTTTTCACGACAGTGTCTCAGGGGATCTTAATATTTAAGAACCTATTAATGTGTTATACCAGATTAACGGGAATAATCTCAGCTAACTGACGATACAAACCATTTTTACCAAAACAAAAACACAAGTCTCATAAGAAGCATCTAAATGACCCCTGAGCGGAAAATGCTAACGCACTTTGGCACAGAACTCAAGGTAAAAGTACCCTCACTCACTACACTGAACAAAAATATAAACTCAACACTTTTGTTTCTGCTCCCATTCTTCATGAGATGAACTCAAAGATCTAAAACATGTTCTATAAACACAAAATAACCATTTCTCTCAAATATTGTTCTCAAATCTGAAAGAATGTGTGATAGTGAGCACTTCTCCTTTGCCGAGATAATCCATCCCACCTCACAGGTGTGGCATATCAGATGCTGATTAGACAGCATGATTATTGCACAGGTGTGCCTTAGGCTGGCCACAATAAAAGGCCACTCTGAAACGTGCAGGTTTTGCTTTATTGGGGGGTCTGGGGGGGTCCGAAAACCAGTCAGTATCTGGTGTGAGGGGTAGGGGTAGAATATTCTGCGGATTACTACCGAATATCCGGAGCCCTAAAAATGGTATTCGGGACAGCCCTAAGCGTCTCTGTGCCTCCGGACTGAGACCTGGAGCAATCCGCTCCAGGTCTCAGTCCGGAGGCCCCGAGACCTGGAGCAATCCGCTCCAGGTCTCAGTCCGGAGGCCCCGAGACCTGGAGCAATCCGCTCCAGGTCTCAGTCCGGAGGCCCCGAGACCTGGAGCAATCCGCTCCAGGTCTCGGGGAAGTCCAGACGTTACAGCTTTAAATCATTTGGGGCTTCCTCTCATTAGAAGGTTTTGCACATGTTTGATATTTAACAGCTTTTCTGGGGGTTTCTTTTAGACCTGCTGACATAAAAAAATTCCTTTACAGCTCAGAGTTCGGCTGATGCTCCCCAAAGACTCTGGGAGACGCACCTGTCGTTTCTTCAGCTTTAAACATCACAGTATTTTAACTTTGACCATCAGATTATTCTCTTTCAGACCAACTCAGCCTCAGGACCAAACACTGCAGCCTAAAAGAAGGGTTTTCAAGCTCTAAATACCACGTGTGTGTCTGTGCCTATGGGATGGACACAGGATCAAAACACGGATACATATTTGCTAAAATGTCTAAATCTCTGGGGAAATTCAAACATTATTTTTTATATATTTCACATTCTGGCATTTAAACCTCACGTTAGATCAGAGTCACTGAGACACCTTTCAGATGGACTTTAAAGAACATCTATATATCATATTCCATGTACTTGTATTTAGACTTCTTGCACTACTTTATTTTGTGTATTTGATTGCGTTGCATTGTTGGAGGGCCAGAAGAATGTCATTGATATGTCTACACTGTTCCCCATGTTCATATGACGATCAAACCTCTGAATCTTGAATTCTCTTGCCCCGTCTGACCTGTGTGTTGTCCTGTATTCATGTTGCTCTGTTGGAGGAGACTCCAGGTGTCCCTCGTCACATCTACACTGTAGCTGCTGAGCACTAACCCATCTCAACACTTTCTCTGCTCTATTGCATTCAATAAGGACCGGAGAATGGAGGTTTCCTACCTGAGGTGGAGTTCCTCCTCCCCGGCGCTGGAGGAGGAGGCCGGGCTGCTGGAGCTCTGCTGCCGGGGGACAGAGCTCTGCTGCCGGGGGACAGAGCTCTGCTGCCGGGTGATATTCTTGAAGCTGTAGAAGAGCCTCTCCTCCTCTTCTTCACTCTTTATCTCCTCTTCGTCCTCCTCATCTTCCTCCTCTTCCTCGGAGTCGGTGAACTCCCGTTTAACGAGCTTAGTGGCCGTGAAGCTGCTGGTCAGCACGTAGCGGTACCGGGGGTCCTGCTGCACCGGGACCTGACCCGGCCTCCTGGTGCTGCTGGGCTTCAACCGGGAGAACTTCTTATCTGTGGAAGTGGGTCTCACCGTGGGGGTGGGTCTCACGGTGGAGGTGGGTCTCACGGTGGAGACGGGGGTGGGTCTCACGACGGGGATGGGTCTCACGGCGGAGGTGGGTCTCACGGCGGAGGTTTTCTCCGGGGAAGAGACTCCAGTACAGCCCTCGGTCCGGGCCTTCTTCCTGGGCCGGTACTTGTAGTCCGGATGTTGGGCCATGTGCTGTAGCCGGAGCCGCTCCGCCTCCCGGATGAACGGGATCTTCTCCGAGTCTCTGAGCAGCTTCCAGCGCTTCCCGAGCCGCTTGGAAATCTCCGCGTTGTGCAAGTCCGGGGACTGGTCCATGATCTTCCTCCTCTCGATCTTGGACCACACCATGAAGGCGTTCATCGGCCTCTTGATGTGTCCCGTGGCGGTCTTCCAGCGGTCTGGTTTCTGCGGTGCGGAGCTGCACGCTGAGGCCGTCTGTAGCGGTGCGGAGCTGCACGGTGAGGCCGTCTGTAGCGGTGCGGAGCTGCACGGTGAGGCCGCCTCCCGGGACCCGCCATGCTGCGTATGTTCCACCATGTTCCCAAAGCCTCCAGCTGACGGACCCGAGCCTCCCGCCACCTTAGTTCTGTTTCTACCTGCTTTATTTCCTCTTAAATATCCGTTAAAACGCGTTATTCCGCCGCGGCTGCGACTGCTTCTCTGTGTTCAAACTTCCAAACCGGCGTCTTATTTACCGACTGATGGGTACCGCCCTCAGCCAATCACCGCTCTTCTTCTCCAAAAACTCTCCCGCCTCCGCATCGCCCTCCGCCAATCACCGCTGTTCTTCTCCCAACACGTTCCCGCCTCCACTGCTGTGTTAGCCAATCACAGCTCTTCTGCTCCCAAAACCTTCCCGCCTCCACTGCTGTCTCAGCCAATCACAGCTCTTCTTCTCGCTCTCTGGTGTCCGGCCGTTGGATTCTTTATCTCCTCACAGAGAAAACCTTCCTTATTTAACGCTTCCATTGCTGTTTATTTGTATTTAAATCACAAGATCGACTCTCTCTCTCAAAGCCTCATGATGAAGAGTGACGTTACACACTCACTCCATGTCTTTTAATTTTTTTTATTTAACTCCCATTTTTCTCTAGATTTAGGATTTCTAAGTGACATGACGTTTATCAAATGTAAATTAACTACAGACACACTTATACCAATAAATCAGAATCAAGTTTATTGCCAGGTACGTTTACACATACAAAGAATTAGATTTTGTGTCTGGTAGTGCGAACAACAACAGAGGCACAACACCAGGGCGCCATTTGAGTTGTCACCTGAAAAGTAATCCGATTAAAACATCAGACTGAGGCCGTTTCTCAATGTCGAGGAGGCTTGGTAGCACATGTATGCTGGGTATTTAAACAGTGATTCGGCGCCACTCGATGACGTAGTATGCTTGAAATAGTGGCTCTGGAGCAGCTTTACTCGACATTGAGAAACGGCCTGAGTTTCCCCTGAAGCTCTGTAGTGTTTGTGGCTCCTTCAGGGATTTGTGAATCCTTGAAGGCTTTTATTCAGGCCTTTCACTAAACTCCATTTCAGCATCATATTTCATTTTATGGGCTGTCATTCAGGTCAAACTACAAAATAACCTGATTATGTTGACGTCGTATTTAACTCACAGGGAATAAACTGACGTAATGTCTTTGTAGAGTAACATCTAGGCAACCAGGACTTAATAAATCAGCATTATGAGTCCTAACCCTGACCTGAGTCAGCATGATGAGTCCTAACCCTGACCTGAGTCAGCATTATGAGTCCTGAACCCTGACCTGAGTCAGCATGATGAGTCCTAACCCTGACCTGAGTCAGCATTATGAGTCCTGAACCCTGACCTGAGTCAGCATGATGAGTCCTGATGAGTCAGCATTATGAGTCCTAAAACCCACGTGAAGTCATGTGACCGTGCTGTAGTTCCTTTATAGCCCAACATTAGCCTCCTTTAGCTTAGCGGTGGTGACGTGAAGTCATGTGACCGTGCTGTAGTTCCTTTATAGCCCAACATTAGCCTCCTTTAGCTTAGCGGTGGTGACGTGAAGTCATGTGACCGTGCTGTAGTTCCTTTATAGCCCAACATTAGCCACCTTTAGCTTAGCGGTGGTGACGTGAAGTCATGTGACCGTGCTGTAGTTCCTTTATAGCCCAACATTAGCCACCTTTAGCTTAGCGGTGGTGACGTGAAGTCATGTGACCGTGCTGTGGTTCCTTTATAGCCTAACGTTAGCTTTTTACTTCAGAAATCATAAAGTTGTGTTAATATGTGGAGATTAGCCTAATGAACTAAAAGGGTAAGCACCATAAACGTTTGTTTGACACAGAGATACATTTTTCTGCAATAATCCAAAATCACACGGAGGAATCCCATTGGACCAGGAGATGCTGCCTTCAGGGACCAACACAAGAATACAACATCCCTGCAGCTCTGTATTCCCAAAGCCTTATCAGCTCCCGGGGCTGAAGGACTTTTTCTGTGTTGTAAACACAAGTTTTGTGTATGTAATCTAAAATGGTTGTTGCTCTCCATTAAACACATGAGGAACACCGCTGTGTGTCTTTCTGCAGGAAACACTGTTAGTGCACATTCAAAGAGGTTTTCTTTGGGCGACACATGGAACAGGAGGAGGAAGTGGAGGACGTCTCATTGAAATGAAGGAGGCTGTTTCTCTTTGCATTTCCATTGTGATGCAGAACTCCTGCAGAGAATCTCAGAGCTCAAAGCACCCTCTGATCGGCTTCTCCTCCTGGGAAGAATTTATATATACACAACACATTATATGTATAGAGCACTGCTCAAGGTACTTTTATGTATAATTATTTCTTCATTTATTTTTGTTCTTTTCTGCTTTTCATGTCTCTCTTTTTCTGTTTGTGTTTTTGCTGTATCTTTTTTTCTAAATTGTATTTACAATTTTTTTTTATCGTTGGACATTTCTTATTTTTTAATTAATATAGTGTACTATTAAGAACATTCAATCATATCATGTATTTAAACCATGACCCCCACCATGCTCCTGTAAATGGACAATGGTAACTGGTCTGTACTTCAATCTCTTTATCAGGTCTCCTGGAGCCCTCAGAGCTCTTTCCAGACTACGAGTCACTCACCCATTCTCACCTCATGCAGAGCAGCACCACTTGCTCTAGGGAAGCTAACACGCACACACACACACACACACACACACACACACACACACACACACACACACACACACACACACACACACACACACACACACACACACACCATGTATACATCACTTCAGGGGACATTACATTGACTTACATGCATTTCCTGGAGACTTATCCTAACCTTAACCATAACCAACACATGCCTAACCCTAACCCTAACCCTAACCAAGTCTTCACCCTAACATTAATGACTCCCCTTATGGGGACCTCCAATTTGTCCCCATAAGGGAGGCCAGTCCCCACACGTGACTGTGTAAACAGATTTAGGTCCTCACAAGTATAGTAATGCTAGGCCACACACACACACCCACACACAAACACACCCACCCACCCACCCACACACAAACACACACAAACAAACATGCACACACACACACACATCCAACAACCTGCTGGTTGAAAGACGACCACACCCCTCACAGCCACAGTCACCCTTAAAATAAGTAAATAACAAGGTGAATATGTATTAATATTGCAGTTTACAACATTACTGAAGGCTTCAAAATATGAGCATGAATGGACAAACAGAAGAGCAGCTTCTTTCATTTATGTTTGTTTTTACATAAATAAATAAAAAATGTTAACCTCCTGAAATAAATGAGATGTAAAGACAGAATGCTGCGTTCACTGTCTGTCTGAGTGTAGGGAAGTACACTAACTACTTTATACTACTCTATACCTTTATCTGACAGCCTTTACACATGCAGAGGATCAGATGCAGCGGGGGGGGAAGTACTCGTGTACTTGAGTAAAAGTAGATTATCTATGTTTTTTGTTTTAATATTATACTGTTGTATTTTTGTCTTATTCTTGGTCAAACACACCTTTTTTATATTCCTGTTACTGAATTCACACTCTCTCTCTCACACTCACACACACACACACACACACACACACACACACACACACACACACACACACACACACACACACACACACACACACACTCTGTTTCAGCCAATAAGCTGTGAGTCTTTTCGTATGCAGCAGCAGCTGATAACATCAAACTGCTGCTCTGCACATGAATGCATCACACACACACACACACACACGCACGCACGCACGCACACACACACACACACACACACACACACACACACACACACACACACACACACACACACACGTTGTTGTGAGTGCAGACACACTTTAATGCACTTTTAAGGGTCACACAGATCATCTAATGAACCTGTCTGGAGAGAATTACAATCATTACATTAATTATGAATCGATGAATGGTTTGAATGTGAGGCACTAATGTTCACCCTGCAGTCACTTTGGGTCTCTTTGTCCGTTTTTGAAATGTCGACAGGATCTCTATTAGTAATTCTGCGATGCTGTCTGCTAGTAGGCTACTGTCCATGTTTCATGCTGATAATATTAATATCCGTAGAAACAGTTGAGCAGTCACATGGCGATGCTTACGTTTAAACGTCTAAATCTCACAGGAAACAGACATTTTGACTTTCATATTTTCTGGAAATGTCTCCTCGCACCTCCATCGAATGTTGAAGTGACCCCTCTCAGATGCATGCTGGGAGATTTCCCCTCCTCCCCCACATGACCCCCAGAGCCAAACCGTTATGTAGAGCTGGGTTGATCGGGGTTGTCCATTTTGAATCGGCCCTCAGCTCATTCTAAAAGCGTAATGTAATCTGAGTTTCTCTTATAATAGACTTCTTAAAATGAGATAAGCTAAGAAGCACTTTATTGATCCCAAGTTGGGACATGTTGCGTTGCAGCAGCATCAAAAGACATCGCATTGTACAATACAAATTAAAATAAATAAACATTCAAAAATGTAAACATCTCAATAGCATATAGCATAGCATAGCCTGATCAGTGCTACTTCAGAGCAACTGGCCTCCATCAAGCGTCTCTGTAACCTTTGTTTACTTCACTTTATCTACCACTTGTTTATTTGCTATGTTGTTTGATGACAAAGATGTATCCTTTGTGTTGCTAAACTAGGCTAACATTATCCCCCTGCTTCCAGTGTTTGTGCTAAACTAGGCTAACAGTATCCCCCTGCTTCCAGTGTTTGTGCTAAGCTAGGCTAAAAGTTCCCCCCTGCTTCCAGTGTTTGTGCTAAGCTAGGCTAACAGTTTCCCTCTGCTTCCAGTGTTTGTGCTAAGCTAGGCTAACAGTTTCCCTCTGCTTCCAGTCTTTATGCTAAGCTAGGCTAACAGTTTCCCCCTGCTTCCAGTCTTTATGCTAAGCTAAGCTAACAGTTTCCCCCTGCTTCCAGTGTTTGTGCTAAACTAGGCTAACAGTTTAATAACTAACATGGGATTAAATCAGGGTTTAAACCGGGGACTAACCCGTTTTTAATCCTGACATTAAAGATGAGCAGAATATAAATGATCTGAGATAAAGCAGGGATTATTTGGAGACAGATTAGAGTTTTGTAAGTGAGCTGTAAAAGGATTTAAAGGCAGTGATTAACCTGAAACACGCCAGGAATTAACCAGAGGAGGGAGAAGTACTCAGATCTTGTACTTGAGTAAAAGTAGAAGTATTCAGATCGTGTAGGCCTACTTAGTAAAA